CAAGTCGTCTGATTTGTTGTTTAATAGTTAAGAATGACTATTAGTTTTTATTGTATACGATCTTTAATACACCAAAACGAATAGGGCTTGAAGTATTTTATCTCTAACAGTTTATGGGTACGGGTCGCATCCAACCGTACCTGGACCCAGACTCGAATAGTGTTCGGATCTAGGTTTTGTACATGGATCCAATATGTTGGGTCTAAATATTGGACCCATATCCGGACCCACGTCAGGTATACCCGGTGGGTCCTGGGTCAGGTCCGAGTCCATTACCACCCCTACAACTAATTAATTAAGGGATTGTATACAATGAAACCATTTACCTTTAATACAAGGTGGTCACAATTCCTTACAACCATTTGATACGAATTTGATAGCTTGGATATATCACAAAATTCAAGAAAATTTGTTTTGAAGTTTGAGCTTGATCGATGGAATAATTGCAGCCATACAACTCTACATCCAATGGTCAAGATTATTGTGACCATAAAAGATAAATGGTCTCATTCCATAATTTCCCATTAATTAATTCGAATATATTTCACACCTCGTCCCTTGAGAGAGAGAGAGAGAGCGGAGTCATAGTAGTGGACACCTAGAAGCTCCCACACCAATAAAACGACGAATACAAATGTCAAGAAACACAAATGAAGTGATTAAAATTGGCAAGGTTCAAGTATTATATTATGAAACTCCATACTTCTTTTATTCTCACAAGAATAAGATCTTAATTTTTAAAAAAAAAAAATATGCATGCAGGCTCCCCCACCCACCAACCCTTCACACAATCCAAAAGCAAAAAACAAAAAACAAAAAACAAAAAAAAACTTACATGACGAATATTAAATGAGCCTCATATCTTCAGTTGCCCACATCTCCATTATTGAGTTCAGTTGACCACATCTCCATTATTGAGTTCAGTTGACCACATCTCCATTATTGAGTCAAAAGTTGGGGTGGGGCGTGGGGGTGGGGCGGGGGGGGGGGGGGGGGGGGGGGGGGGCGCGTACGATGCATATTTTAAAATTCAGTGCTATATTTTAAAATTTGTCCTGTGACTCAAAC